GAGCCCAGCAGGTCGAGGCTGCAGTGGCCGGGAGAGGCCACTGCACTCCAGTCTGGGTGACAGAGTGAGATTCCAACTCAAAAAATAAAATAAAATAAAACAAATCACTCAGTCTCAGGTATTCCATTATACCAGCACAAAATAGACTAAGACAAAGGCCTATATCATTTTCATCAGAAAAAGAGAATTCTTATACCTCCAGATATAAATATAACACTTAAGTGTAAGTCCTATCTATGGGCCAAATACTAACATAGAACAGTTCTCCTCAAAGAAGCCCTATTCCTGGGAGGAAGCATGTGGCATGGTGGTTGAGGGTACAGGCTAGGCCTGACCTTGAATCCCAGCTCTACTACTGGTCAGTGACATGACCTTGAGTGGGTCCTTGGACATCTCTGTAGATCAGGGGAGGAAACTACAGCATCCACTTCATAGAGTTGCTGCAAGGATTGTCTGGAGTTGTAGGAATCAGGTGCCTAGGGCTGCACACTGCCCATGATTAAAAAAAAAAAAAAAAAGCAGCTGGGACTAGGATCAGGAGGCCTCTGGGAGCTCAATCACTGAGGGCAAGCACAGGCAGACCCAAAAATAGCAAAGTTCATAGCCTAGGAAAGGTTGGATGTAGAAAAAAAAAGTGACCTTTGTCTGAGGATCCAGGGAAGGTAGGTACTAGGTAAGGAGACAGGAAAGTTGTCATTTTTATGGATAGTTGCATTTTAGTATTCAGTGTCTCTTAAACTTCAGGATCAAAGATAACAAGAATACATGGTTACCATTTCACATTTATTTTGTTTTGCAAGGATCAGGTACTAATACTGTATCCTCTTCCCAAAGGTGTTGACTTCGAGCAGAATAACCCAGCCATGGAAGTCTGTAGTGCCCAGAGTTTTTAAAATAAGTTACTCTTGACTTTCCTAGGGAAAAATTAAGTCTGTCCAAAGATCAGGCAATTGAACAGCGAGATGACAAATAACCTTTGCCTTGCCATTTTTCCATTACCAACATTGTGCTTGTAGTTCTCCCCTCTTCTCTAGTTTCAAAATGCACTCTTGTGAACACACCCTGCATTTATCACTTGTTTCCATATATTTTCAGTTAATGTTTCATGAGAATATCTATTGGTAGATTTCGTGTTTCCAACTACAGGCTTACCCTCATACTTTTGAGTCTATTGGTAAAGAGAAAAATCATAGACAAAAGATGTGAATAGTGGCGGTGAGCAAGTAAAAACTTGAGAAGACCCATGGGCTGCTTTTCAAGTTCTGCTAGCGTTTGCTACAAGTATAAGTGCTGACAACAAGCAGTACTGGCCCCATTCTAATCAGAGGTTGGCCCTTGGCCCTTGTAATGAGAGATTTGTAGCCTAAAAGATTGTTCACCAATGTTGCTCCAAACGTTTTTCTTAGAGATAAGTTTACATTTAACATACAACCATTGCCATGTACATTATGTATGCCATGTTATATGTGTATATTATGTAGAACATATTATCTGTCATCAAATATACAGTTATTAAGATTGTATATGGCTAGCCAGGTGTGGTGGCTCACACCTGTAACCTCAGCACTTTGGGAGACTGAGGCAAGAGGAATGCCTGAGCCCACAGGTTCAAGACCAGACTGGGCAACACAGCAAGACCACGTCTCTACAATAAATCAAAAAAATTAGCCAAGCGTGGTGGCACATGCCTGTAGTTCCAGCTACTTGGAAGGCTGAGGTGGAAGGATCACCTGAGCCCAGCAGGTCAAGGCTGCAGTGACGGTGAGCATGCCACTGCACTCCAGCCTGGGCAACAGAGTGAGACTCCGAATCAAAAAAAAAAAAAAAGATCATATATGGCTGGGCACAGTGGCTTATGCATATAATCCCAGCACTTTGGGAGCCTGAGGTGGGAGATTTGCTTGAGCCCAGGAGTTTGAGGCCAGCTAGGCAACAGAGTAGACCTTGTTGCTACAAGAAATCAAAAATTCATCATGCATAGTGGTGCACGTCTGTAGTCCCAGCTACTTGGGAGGCTGAGACAGAAGGATTACCTGAGCCCAGGAGGTCAAGGTTGCAGTGAGCTGTGATTGTGCCACTAGCCTGAGCAACAGAGTGAGACTCCTCAACTCAAAAAAAGATATATAATTATTAAAATCATTTATTCATTACAGATACAAATGATACAATAGTCATCAATTTAACCTCACAAGTGGTAATTTGAGAGAACAGATGACTTAAGATGCTCTTTCAACAATTGGGGAGATTTGAATATAGGCCATGACAATGACATTGTGGTTATGTAGGAGAATGTCCTTGTCCTTAGGAGACAGATGCTGAAGTGTTTAGGGGGAAGCATCCGGATGTCCACTACGGAGTCTCAAAAGGTTCAGGGGTGGGAGAAAGCGCTTGTCCAGAGAAGAAGAAAGCAAATGTGGAAATGTCAGCAATTTGTGAATCTAGTCAAAAGTAGACTGGCCCTCACTGTACTATTCTTGCCACTTCTCTGTATATTTGAAATATTGTCTAAAAGATATTTTTAAAAGATAGCTCTTGTTATGATTATGCACAAAAGCCTACTTCCTCCCAGGAAAACAGAACATATGTGTAGAAACACTAGAAACGTTCTAAAAATCTTGATTGAAATGCATTGCCAAAATCAGAATATTTTTGTGTAAAATCTTACAACTAAAAATAAAATGCCTGTCTTTACTCCAACCAGTGAGTTAATACATATTTCTATATTGGTACATAACAAAGTCAAATCATTCGTAATAAAAACAAGAACAATATGTACAAGACAGTGAAGATGAATAAAAAAATAAACACTCAAGATTGGTGGAAAACTTTTAAGGAATTCTTTAAGATTTCACATTTGGGCAGGCGCAGAGGCTCACATCTATAATTTCAGCACTTTGGGAAGCCAAGGCAGAAGGATCGCTTGAGGCCAGGAGATTGAGACCAGCCTGGGCAACATAGCGAGACCTCATCAATACAAAAAAGCAAAAAATTAGCCAGGCAGGATGATGCATGCCTGTACTGCCGGCTAGTCAGGAGGCTGAGGTAGAAGGATCACCTGAGTTCATAAGGTCAAGGCTGTGGTGAGCCATGATCATGCCACTGCACTCCAGCCTGGACAACAGAGACCCTAACTCAAAATGAAATAAAATAAAATAGATTTCACATTTGTTCTCCAATGTAAATAAGGCCCTAAGATTTTAGAGCTGAGAAGGATCAGGGAGAAATACAGTGTGGTAGTGCAGTCCTCAATTTGTAGGTGATATAATGCAGGGTCCGAGAAAATTCTACAAGTATGGAAGTGCACAAGTGTTTAAAAGCTGTTAAGTGCTTTTAAAATTGATCTGGAACCCCTTCCTGTGAGTTACAATCAGCATTAGATCAATGTCCCTTGGAAATGTCTTGCTTATTTCATGGAACTTTTTCCAGTAGACTTCAATTTAGTCTCCAAGTTTAAATAATTGAAGTTCCAAAAAGTCTGAAGTATTTCCAGTTGAAAAAAGAGTAAGTCAAGTGTTTTCACAAGTTTTTTAGAACAACGAACAAAATACATTTGGTAAAAAAAAAAAAAAAAAAAAAAAGAATAATGAGAAATAAAAACTAAACACAGGACCAACAAAAGGTTGAAGAATGACCATGTTAGTCATCCTGCTTTGCCAAATAAAACCACAAATTACTGCGTATCTTCTTCCCTCTTCTTAAACATGCTTCTGAAGCAATAATTCCATTCATTCATTCATGTATTCAAATATTTAAGTACCTAACCTGCTTAAAGAACTTCATGGCCAGAAGGACTTCATGGCCATGTTGCAATTTTTTTAAAGTTTTCAAAGTTTATTTAGAAAATAAATTAGAGAGAGAGAGAGAGACAGAGAGAGAGAGAGAGATTGAGAGGGAGAGAGAGAGGGAGGGAGGGAGGGAAAGAGGGAGGGAGAGGAGATTCACCTCCCCAAGGTAGGGGAGGGGGCCAAAGCTAAGAAAACATGGTGGCTATAGCTCAAAGAACACATGGCCTGGCCAGTGCTTAACAAAACAATGGCCCATACTGCAGTTTTTAAAACTATGTTACACTGCCCTTCTGTGACAGCATTTTTCTGGACATGAAGTTACTTTTCAAGCATAAATATGCAACTAAATTGAAAATATTCCTCCATACCTAAGCTTTATGAAACATGAACTGTGCGCAAATATCATAACTCCATATTGGAAGAAAAACATCATCTAAGAGGGAAAAAAAACCATCCAAGCTTACTCCTGGGACTCTGAACCCTTAAGCAACTGTTGAGATGGCCCTTTATTGGATCTTGCCCTTAATTATGAGGTTCATGCAGTCTTAAGCTTGGGTTTCAAAAACCATTAATAATTACCCTTAAATAGCAAACAAATGGAAAATTTCATAATCTGGGTGGTGCATCTGTAAAGACTATAAAAGTTGCATGATACTGCTCAGCTCTTCACGCTCCTATTGGATTCTTCTAACTGCTTCACAGTTGGGCAAACAGGTCAGTGTGATTTCATTACTACCTAGAGCTCCTGCTTGCATTTACACTCTGCTTCCTTTCAGAATGGGAAAGAGAATGGTCTGGAGAGAGGGTGGGTTTATGCCATCTAAAGGCATCACCTGTAACTTAGAAACTACAAGCCGTGGTCAGATATTCTTCAAGACCACAGCCTACAGACTACAGACCAGGTACCTGAAAAGTGGAGAATGTCATTAATTACTCATAAAAATGTTTGATTCCAGAACTGCCTCCTAAGAATTGGAACGTAACATGCTAAGATGATGATTTGCAAACACACTGGTAATAACTGGTGCCATTCCCACTCTGACCCTCTTTACCTCCCCTCTCTTTTCCTTATTTGACTCCATCTATGCCAAGGATACAGCCCAATGGCACCAAAATCCTGCTGATGACCCTCAGCATAAAACTCCACTTCAGCTTTGTGCTAAGTTTGTTTTCTTCCCAATTTACAGGACATCAGAATGAGTACTAAGAAATCTCCTGAAGAACTGAAGAGCATTTTTGAAAAATACGCAGTCAAAGAAGGTGACCCAGATCAGCTTTCAAAGGATGAGCTGAAGCTATTGATCCAAGCTGAATTCCCCAATTTACTCAAAGTGAGTGTCCATCTGCAGAGTCCACTGAACCGGATCTCTGATGGTGGGAGGGGAGGGAAGGGATGAGAGAGGATACTGGTGGAGCTTCATGGGGGATATTGCTTGAAGGAGGACAGATAAAGGTGGGCTTTCTTCCCCTTGAGTCAGGCCACATTTCAGGAGGCAAGCTCCCAGAAAGCAAGGGCCAAGCCTTCTATCTTTCCCACAGCTTCAACACAGAACTCTCCAGGACTAGACATGGTAAACAGAAGTGATGCCAAGCTATGCCTGGAAGACCCACAAGTCGCCAAGCAAACCCACCAAGGCCTTCAGCCTGGATTCAGTACCTCTGTGCCAGGCTTTAGGAAAACAAAGAGGACTGCAAAATAATGTTAGGTGGCCTTGAACATAAAATCCCTCAATAAGATCAACACTTCCTTGGCAGTCCATTAAGAAAACCCGCTGACAAACTGCCCTGTTGACACACATTTATATATCAAGAGCATTTAAAAATTTGTGTTCATTTGTGTTAATCACTTAAATTTGTGTTGAGGCAACCATGCATTTCTAAACAACTTTCAGGAAAGGACTAAATTTCTTTGGCCATAAAGTTTTACATCAAAACCATCCCAGAGTTGTCAAAATTAAAACACAGTAGAGGCAATAAACAGGGTGCTGAGAAAGCTGATTCTCTGTAGGCGATATGCAGCATTTTCCTTCCTCTTGTTAAGGAAAAAATTATTCATGACACTTGTTAAAGATGGTAAGGCAGCCAGGCATGGTGGCTCATGCCTGTAATCCCAGCACTTTGGGCGGTGGAGGCGAGAGGATTGTCTTAGCTCAGGGGTTCAAGACTAGCCTGGGCAACTTGGTGAGCCCTCATCTCTACAACAAATAAATTTTAAAAATTAGCCAGACATGGTGGCACACACCTGTAATTCCAGCTACTTGAAAGGCCGAGGTGGAAGGATTGCCTGAGTCCAGCAGGTCCAGGCTGCAGTGGCCATGAGCATGCCATTGCACTCCAGCCTGGGCAACAGAGTGAGACTCTGACTCAAAAAAAAAAAAAAAAAAAGATGGTAAGGCAGAGGTTTTCAAGGAGAGACGTGGCAGTAGAGATAGAGACCATTGCAAAGGAGTCTTGCGGGGGGAGAGAAATTGGGTTCAACTCCAACAAGGACAAGTGGGGAGGTTATAACCAAAAAGCAGGATTGGGTTTAGTGGATGGAAAATTCCTAAGGAAACAAATTCCTAAGGGGTCTCTGGCTAAACTGCCTTGATAGGATTTTTGCTGAATGCAGACCAGGGTGATGAGAGATCAAAGGTGGTCAGACAAGAACAGAGAAGGAAGTCCAAGTTGGGGCCTAGTCAAGCAGAAGTCTCGGGGAACCTGACTAAAGTTTTGATCAAAGGAGAAAGTCTTTGTCGCTTTGCAAAAAGCCATCTTCACAATGAAAGCAACTGTCATTACATTCAACTCAGTCACTATTTAGCTCCAACTTCAGAAGAAAGCATTTGCTTCAAGGATCCCTGCTTTCCAGATTTTAAACAGAAATATATTTTCTGCCAAGATGACAGTTGGAAACACTTCTGCTTTTACTACTAAAAAGAAAAAAAGCTGAATTCAATGACCTTATAATCAGATATTTCTTCATTTTCTTATAATTGAAATATAAAAGACCTTTAAAAAACACTTATAAGCATTAGTAGGAAAGGCTTTTTAATTAAAAAACAAAAGTTTTTGAGAAATGCTAACTTTTTAAAATGCTTAATTTTTTCTAAAAAGAAGAAAAAATAATAATATAACAGGAAATCCTAGGCAATCTACTCAAACATGTTGTTTTAAAAGACAAGACAAGCCGGGCTCGGTGGCTCAGCCTGTAATCCCGTGCTTTGGGAGGCTGAGGTGAGTGGATTGCCTGAGCCCGTGGGTTCGAGACCCGCCTGGGCAACTTGGCGAGACCTCATCTCTACAATAAATCAAAAAAATTAGCCGGGTGTGGTAGCGCGTGCCTATAGTTCCAGCTACTTGGAAGGCTGAGACAGAAGGATCGCCGGAGCCCAGCAGGTCAAGGCTGCGGTGGCCAGGAGCATGCCACTGCACTCCAGTCTGGGTGAGAGAGTGAGACTCCAACTCAAAAAAAAAAAAAGAAAGACAAGTAAATTTTTCTATACTTGATGTATTTCCTATTTTAAAAAAAGCATATAAGGTTTTTGTAATTCAGAAAAAGGTAGGAAGACTAATGGTAAGTTTTGAAAATCTACTTACATATACCTGATTATATTTTTCCATGAGAATAACTAAGTTTTTCCAGCTATTCTGTGTTTATATAAATCATCATCTTGTATAGTTTAGAATCTAGTAGATGCTCTGGGAAAACAGTGCTTTGTATTTATAAAATAGATGCTGAATAACTAACCTACAGTTTGGTCTTGTAATCATAGAGAGTGCCAAGTGTCTTTGTAGAAATCATAGAGGTTGAAATATATCTTGCCATAGAGATCTATTGCCCAACAATGTGAATGTACTTAACACTACTGAACTGTACACTTAAAAATGATTAAGATGACAAATTATGTTATATGTTCTTCACCACAATTTATATATCCATATATACATACAGTTTAATTTTGAAATAGGCATAAACTAAACTATTATTTCAATAGGTTTTATAAGTACTATTTCGCCACAGATAGACTCCCACCTGAAAGTCCAAGCAAGAATGGCTTTAAGATTCTAGTTTTATGGCAGAAACAAAAATTAAGTTTTCTTAAGATACTACAGGAAAGTCAGTAATCAAAAAGCTGAACACAAGTCATGCAACACCTCAGAGAGTGGTTCCCCAAGCATAGTCAGCACCACCTGACAGCCTGTTGAAAATACAGATTCTCAGGCCCGCCCCTGGCCTAGGGAAGTAGAAATTGGGGGTGAGGCTGGCAATATGTATTTACTAAGGTCTGCAAGCCCACTGAGTGATTCTGATGCATACTAAAGTGTGGGAACCATTGATGCAAAGTCATCTTGCACAGCCTAGGATTTGGGAAAAACTGGGGGAGTGACTTGTTTAAGAGATTGTGCTCTGGAGCCAATGTGTGGACCCCAAGCCCTCTGCTAGCCAGCTGTGTCCTCTGGAGCAAGTAACCAGCTGTCTCTGAGCCTCGGTTTCCTCACCTATAAAGTGGATCTCCTCTACAGGGTTGTTGGAAGAATGATAGAGGCTGCCCAAAGCCCTTGGCATCATGCTGGCCAGCAGGGAGCCCTCACTGCCTGCTGCCTCATGTAATGTGCCAGCCTCATCCATGGGGCCAGAGACAAAAGCAACTCCTCAGTGGCTCACGCCTATAATCCCAGCACTTTGGGAGGCTGAGGTGAGAGGATTGCCTGAGCCCACAGGTTCGAGATCAGCCTGGGTAACTTGGTGGGACCTTATCTCTACAATAAATCAAAAACTTAGCCAGGCATGGTGGTGCATGCCTGTAGTTCCAGCTACTTGGAAGGCTGAGGCGGGAGGATAGCCTGAGCCCAGCAGGTTGAGACCACGGTGGCTGTGAGCATGCCACTGCACTCTAGCCTGGGCGACAGAGTGAGACTCCAACTCAAAAAAAAAAAAAAAAAACTTTGGAATAGGGGTCCCCAGCTGTTTGTGGGCCATGGGCAGACCAATGAAGCCCGTGGACCTTTCTCAGAAGAATGTTTTTAGAGGCATAAAGAAAAACACATGAGATCACATAAGAAACTAGTTTTATTAAAATATACATTATATTAAAGTAATAAATGTATGGTATACTAAAAAGCAGGAGATAGCCAGTCTTTTTACATAGAGCAATACTACAACTAAAACTGGTTTGTCCCCCTCTGTCAGTTGCATGTGACTGAAAACTGGGGCTATCTTCTTGGCATGCAGACCCAGGGTCTTAAATTTCAGAGAACGTGTTGCAGTAACTGATTTGTTTTGTTTTGTTTTGTTTTCCCTCCCCTACCCCATCCTTTGCATCTAAACCAGGGTCCAAATACCCTAGATGATCTCTTTCAAGAACTGGACAAGAATGGAGATGGAGAAGTTAGTTTTGAAGAATTTCAAGTGTTAGTAAAAAAGATATCCCAGTAAAGAAGAAAACAAAACAGTATCCTTAGCACCAAAAGTATCCTGGGCAGTGGCCTTATCCTATGTGAAATCCCCAATGTCTCTGATTTAATTCCTTGTGATTATAATGATCTGGCTGTGAGGTCCAATTACTGTTAATAAAGAAATTCTTAGACATGTCTCATCTTGTTAAGTACTGATCCTCATAACTTAGTAGATTTGAAAATAACCATAGTCTGATTCATCTAATTCTACAGATTTTTTAAAAATTGCTGAATGATACCTTGTGATAACACAAAAGAAAATGAAGTAAAAGGAATCTAAAAAAAGAAAATAAAAGAAAAAACTATTTTTAAAAAAGTAAAGGCCGGGCTCAGTGGCTCAGCCTATAATCCCAGCACTTTGGGAGGCCGAGGTAAGTGGATTGCCTGAGCCCACGGGTTTGAGACCAGCCCGGGCAACTTGACGAGGCCTCGTCTCTACAATAAAATAAAAAATAGCCAGGTGTGGTAGCATGCACCTGTAGTTCCAGCTACTTGGCAGGCTGAGGCAGACAGATCGCCGGAGCCCAGCAGATTAACACTGGGGTGGTTGTGAGCGTGCGTGCCACTGCACTCCAGTCTGGGCAAAGGAGTGAGACTCCAACTCAAAAAATAATAGTAATAATAAAATAAAAATAAAATAAAAGTAAAAAGAGGGCCAGAATAGCTCCATGATCTTGCCCAAGACTACAAAGATTGTGTGGGAGACTTGGAAAGAATCCTGAAGTACCAAACCAATTCCCTCACCCCACTTTTCCACCAGAATCACCCTGTTCCTTGCTCTCCTGCCCCAAACACTCAGTGCTCGCATCCTGTCCAATTTCAACTCTCTTCTCATGCTATTCATTAGCTACTGAAAAATAGACCTCACAAAACAGACACTTGTCTTTCCACCACCTCCCAGCACTCACTGTGCTTTTTGAATGAAGAACTTTCATGGGAACAGAAGGAACACAGGACCAAGATTCTGACTCACGCATCACTGATGGGGTGGCCTATGGTCTCAGTTCTGGCGCATGATGTGTGACATAAAAGATGACAGGAAGACCTTGGGTCCTTCCAGGTCTAGTCATCCTGTGCTCTGCCCTCAAGTTCTACTTGTTGAGTCCAGCTAGGGGGATGAAGAGAGTGAGGAATAGGGAAGGAGGATCTCACAGAGGAGGAAGGGTAACTTTCTTCTACCCCTTACCAGACAGAGTTAAAACGTTAAAGCTCAAGTTCAAGTTAGCCCAAGATAACAATGGTTCAAGCTAGTCCCAATATCCTGCCACAGAAGTGCCCTGAAAGCTAGGTCTTTATTTTTTTTTCTTTTTTTTTGAGTTGGAGTCTCACTCTGTCACCCAGACTGGAGTGCAGTGGCCTCTCCCGGCCACCGCAGCCTCGACCTGCTGGGCTCCGGCGATCCTTCCGCCTCAGCCGTCTGAGTAGCCGGAACTACAGGTGCGCGCTACCATGCCCGGCTAGTTTTTTGATTTATTGTAGAGATGAGGTCTCGCTGCCCAGGCGGGTCTCGAACCCGCGGGCTCAGGCAATCCACTCACCTCAGCCTCCCAAAGGCACGGGATTACAGGCTGAGCCACTGAGCCCGGCGCTAGGTCTTTATTTTCCTTTTACCCTCACAACTCTCTCCCCTCAAAAACATCCAAAAGTATCACGTTGCCTTTGAACAGTCTCTCTCAACCTTTTTAAAAAAATCACTGTCACCCTCCTAAGAAGGCTTGTTAAACACTTTGTTCTAGTTGCCCGGCCTAATGAAATTTTAATTTCAGATACACTGTGTACATCTGTTTATGTACTGTGTGTGTATCTGTACTTTAGACATGGAGTAAGCTTTTCTTGCCCCACTGCTGCCCTCCCCACCAAAAACCCAACTGTAATCCCCTTGGGAGTGACATCACCTTTGAACAATGTTCTTTGGACTTTTAATTTTGACTTCATGCTCTAGAACCAAAACTGCCATATTATACCTTCTGTAGTTGACATCAGAGAGATAGGGAATAATTTCCACTTTCAAATGTAGAAAATGACAATACTGAATGGTTTTCAAACTACAAGTCCTCTCAAAGATTCTGCCCTATGACCCTACCCTCAAGCTGAGAATCACTGCCTGCAAAGTACTGCCTTTGACCTGATTTTGTTTTTAACCTAATGAACTTGGAGGTATACGCTGGGTCTGTCAGTCAAGTTGGTTGCTATCACTTCCCCAGTAGCTGGAAAGCTCTCCGAGCTGAGCAGAGGAACACATGGCCATGTTCTCACCTCCTCCACCCATAAAGGAGGTAGGTGGCCACCTAAAGGGGCCCATCCACAAACTGGACAGGACTAGGCTCATCTCTGTGGAATTTGATCCCAGAGAGAGGGAAATCCTGGTTAGTGTAGGCACAAGGTGGGGCCAGGTGGCCAAACTGAGCAAGGCACAAGATGAGTAGGCAGTGGCTCAGAGGGCAGGGTGGGGTGACATATATTCAAATTGACATGAACATGTGCTAAAAAAAATCTCTGCAAGTACACACAGAAACTAATAGCAGTGGTTACACATTAAAAGAGGCCTGGGCAGATGCAGGGCAGAAATGTGAGGACCATTTTTCACTTGATATCTTACTGCACATTTTGATTTTTGAACCATATGGACATGCAGCCCATCAAAAAGAATAAATGAACATTTTCAATAAAAAGAGAGCACTTTTAAATTCTGTGTTGCTGCTTTTTGTGATAAGTCTCTCAGCACTCTGTTATTGAGAATAGTACAAACTATCTAACTTTGGGGAGGAGAGTATGACTGTGGAGATTTGGGAGAAAATGACATAATTATGGAAGTTCTCCCAGTAATAAAATGAAATTCATGGGAAGCCACTTCAAACATCTAGAAACTTAACCAGAAAAAAAAGGAAAGTGACTTCTAACCCTTCCACCGAGAAACAGAGGAGATTTTTGTATACAGTCGAGGGAATGTCTGAATATAATTTGTATCATTCTAATTCAACACAAGAGCATTCTCATGATATCAAAACACTTAAACATTTCTAATGACTGATTATATTCCACCATAGGGATAACCCATAATAGTCTTAACTATTTCCCCATTGTGGGGCATTTAGATTGTTGTCATTTCTGATTCTTCTAAATGTTATGATGAGTAGATTGTTGTCATTTCTTATTCTTCTAAATGTTATAATGAGTACTTATTCATATAAGGAACATTTCAGAGTTCCTTAGGAGAATTTTTGAGAAGTAAATGTCTGAGTCAGAGGGTATGGATATTTCTATGGTTTGTGGAGCAGACAACCTAACTGATTTCCCAAAAGGTTGTACGATTCATAGCTCTACAAGCAGGCGGGACAATGCCAGCATTAACTGGTCATTTTAACAACTTTATTAGTCACAACAGTCACATCTTCTATTTGTTGCTGGTTCTAATAGGAATCCATCACTATTTCACCATTAAGTTTACTATTGGCTATTGGTTTGTAAAATATATTATCTACCTTATTTAAGAAGCACCAGGTCGGGCATGATGGCTCACGCCTGTAATCCTAACACTTTGGTAGTCCAAGGCAAGGGGATTGCTTGAGCCCAGGAGTCTGAGACCAGCCTGGGGAACATAGAGACCTGTCTCTACCAAAAAAAAAAAATCAAAATAATTAGCCAGGTATGGTGGTGTTTGCCTGGAGTCGTAGAAGGTCAAAGCTGCAGTGAGGTATGATTGTGCCACTGCACTCCAGTCTGAGTGACAGAGTGAGACTCCGACTCAAAAAAAAAAAGTACCAGTCTCTTCCTAGTTTGTTATGAGATTATGAGCACCAGGGTTTGGATACTGAGTATCTATGGTGCTATGGGTATGGTGCTATGGCTTGACTCTCTTTTGTTCAACCAATGTGATGTGCTCATAGATTTAATTCCCAGGATAAATACTCTATCCAGTCATAATCAACTATTCTATAATGCTGCTAAATTAGACATTCTAATATTTTATTTAAGATTTTCACATCTTCATTCCTAACTGACATTAGTCTATAGTTTGGGTTTTTGTTATTTGTTGTATGTGCTTTGTGAAGTTCTAATATCTAGGCAGTGCTAGCTTCCCATTTTAGCCTATGTTCTAGGTAGCTACAAGCTCCTCACAGAGTAAATATACATTATCTATTTCAACTCCAGCATATGTAAAGCACCTACTCTGGGCAAGTCATTATGCAAGATGCCATAAGAGGTACAGATTTCCAGACCTCTGAGATTCTAAGTCAGTAAGTCTGGGATCAGTCAGGGAAAAAGATTCATTGAAAAAGTAGCATTTCACTTGGGATTTGTAGGCAGCATCTTGAGGGGAGCATGCAGGGAAGAGGCAGCAATAGGTATTCAGAAAAAGAGAAAATACCCCAAGTAAACACATCATGTCCAAGTGCAAGGCAGTTCAGGGAACACACACACTATGTTTTTGAGCAGAATGCCCGGTATGAGGAGTAAAGAGGGCACAGTGACTTCAGATCGTGAAAGTCCCTGGTTGCCACACTAAAGAGTCCACCCAAGGTCCAAATGGGAGCAGGAAGGTGTAGGAGTCACAGAGCAACATGAATGTGCTTTAAGATGAGGTGGGCACTAATAAGGAATCTGAAAGGGTGCAAGGGACACAGAGTAGAGGCTAGGGACATGCAGGGGACCTCCACAGCAAGCCCAGCAAGAACAGTGGCAAAATACTAGAAACACATCAGAAAGATACCTTCTCTGGCTGGCTGGATTTTACTGATATGGACAAATGAACATTTGAGGTTAACTCTCAAGAAGAATGAAAACAAATGGAGTGTGTGTGTGTCCATCTGATTGGCCTTCTTGGCCTCATTTCCAACATTGATCTTATCTCCACACATCCAATAGGCTTCCCTTGAATTTCCTCTCGAATCAACAGTACCAGCATTTTGTCAGCCACAAAACTCCAGTTCTCACTAGACTGTAGGATGCACCAAAGCCAGGATTTTATCTGTTCTTTTATTGATGTCTCCCCAAGTGAAGATTAGGGCCCGGTATATAGGACGGGCTCAATAGGTATTTGCTGAATAAATGATCCTTGACTATCCAGTCACTACATCTTGGTGATTCTTCCCATAAAGCCACTCTGCCAGCTGGCCCTCGCTACTGTAACTAC